CATTTTTCCCCAACTTCGCTTTTTGCCAGGCCACGGACGTATTGTGCAGTACAAATCGACATAAGCTCCTGGTTGCCGTCGCCAGCGAGTTAAAGCCACGCCTCAGATCATGCGCAGATGCCATTCCTCGCGTCGTTTCCGTGTCACCAGCTGGATGGAGCCCATACAGCGCCAAGACAGCTGGAGCCGATGGCTTGTTGAAACCTTATTACCACCAGGCGGCGAGCTGGCTCGACAATGACGCTACGCTGTCGCCCCTGTAACTGGCGGATTTGCCGGAAGCACCAAGCGTGACTTAGGTTGCTCTGAACGACCTGATTCAAACCGCCTCCATTCTTGGTGGCATGTCGTAAATGGTAATTTCTGGGGACAAAACGATCTATGACATGTCAAGCACGGTAGTGTGCGGGACCAAGGTGATTGAATAGAAAATTGAGTAAAGTCAACAACACCACGCCTGGACTCATTCATTGCGTCAACATCACATACAATACCAAAACACCCTTTATGGGACCGGTCAATATTTTACCTAGAAAGCAATGAACCATGCTGAGTTACGGGTATGTCAAGCATTTGCATCAGGCCACACCGCCAAATGCTAGCACGCGTTGAACTTCAGATAATTCTACTATGCTTTATTCGAAAGTACCTCGCAAATATATTGACCCTGTTTCTATTTAAAAACGCATGTGCGTATGAATTAGGTGAGGGCGTGATAGTTGAAATGCGAAACAATGAGCTCTACGCTTGGAGGTTGGCTAATCCGGTCAACTGCTCAGAATGAGAGCATATGAGAGTATCTTTTAGGAACGTTATGACTTCCTTACAAACTCTGCTACTATGACTTACTTGATACATGCGGCCCAATACGGCTTTGTGGACACAGTTATCGTGCGGTTCCACAGTTTTCCAAGGCAGGAATCCGGATAAATGCTCCTCCCCTAGTCGAATCTGCATCTCGGCTCTGCCAAGTGAACGGCGAATCTTCTCGACTCGGCCAGCTTGTGATGCAAATTAATTCAAGGAAAACCCAATGACGGAGAAATCAATGATGCTGCCGTGGTACATGCAGCGAATATTTCCCCATTGCTACCACTGTTCATCCTCATTTGACCTTTAAGCAAAGAAGGTGGGAAGGTAAAAAACATCGGGCTAATAAGCAGTTTTCTCTCGAATATTTCCACAAAGTGGTCTCATTTCTGGGAGAAATCAGAATCTGGTGGTGGACTTAGTTGTTCGACCCCGGGGCCGCGAGCCCTCAAGGCCGCCGCCGACCGATTTCGCAATACTGTGCCCGACCTGCGAGCAGTGCGAACGGCCGATCGAAAATCCCCTGATGGCTCCTAGACTCAAGCCAGGACCATAGGCAAGCTGGAAAGTGAGAGTGACTGTGGAAGGACGGCAGAGGACACGGCAAATGAAGTACCGTCACACGTCACTTCTCTACATATTCTCAGCTTCAGTATAGACATGATCGGAGCTATCGCACATCTTACAAAGTACGTGCATAAATAAGAATGGGCCAAGAATCGTTATGACAAATTATGGCGAACAAATTTGGTACCGGATGCCTTCTCAGCATACCGTGAGGTCTGCAGACACCAGTCCATCAATATGGGCCTGAGAGGGTCGTTTCTAGCCGAAAAAATATAAGGCCTCAAGTTAATTAGATCCACCAAAAAATACATTTCAGTCAGAGGAGTAGAAAGCTTCAGCGTCCCCTCGTGGTTTGCATTGTATACTTTTGTCAGTCGCTCACTCTTTATGCTGATCTATTTCTGCAAGACCTTGCCCCTCAGCAAGAGACCTATGGGAGGTCAGTGGGCTATAGTGGCCCTCCATTACGGCAGCGCCTTTGGCCGTATGCAACGCTCCGTGATTCGAAACAAAAGGTGTACTAGTGGAAATATTTGCGTCGTTCTGCGTTTATTGGAAAAAAATAGAAGGAGAAAAACCATTCCAGGAAGAAGTTGGAATCCTTTTTTGGTAGGCTCAAACACTCAAGGCGTAGCACAAGTTAAAGTTGCTCGGTGGAGAGCCCGGCAATGTTTTGCGTGGACGGGTTCGATGCATCAGCAGCTAACGCGACCCGCGTGACTGTCGGCAATCAGGCCACAAAGCCAATGGGCATGTTAGTTCAGCCGAGTTCTTTTGTGCCCAGCCCGGTTTGAACTGACCGACGCCAGCGATCACGAGCGGCTAGCTCCAGTCGGAGGCCGCGGTGGGGGGTGGTCAGAGGTGCATACACTTGGGAAGGTCAGAAGCGGTGTATCGACCGCTGTGACAATGTCACGTGGCTGGGGACGACCAGGGACACAGTCGCGCATTTCGCCGACCTCCTCCTTTGAATACCACGACCGCTTCAACTGGAATGAAGACACCATCCATCTTCGTTCTTGCCAAATGTCAGCTGAAGAGCAGTGTTGAAGAATATTCCCTGGGCTCCAGGCCAGGACGGAACTCTTCGTGACCTGTCCTGTCATGCCTGTGATCACCACTTCGTGACCCGTCCTGTCATGCTTGTGATCACCACTTCGCCAGATTATTCTGCCGCTTTTATTCAGCCGTTGCTCGATATCTTCGCCATATTCCACTTGCTTTCAGTGGGCAGGTTTAGTATCATATCCCGAGGTAGTCCAGAGTTGTTGTCTTGACAGTCGCGTCATGACATACTGTTTTCACGACAGATCTTGCAGCTGTTTGCTGCATGCGAGGAGGCAGCGTCGCCAAACGGTCACGCCAGATAAAGCCAGGTAAACCAGACAACCTCAGGTATGTCGTGCGGGCACATCAAGTCCAAGATATCTCACCATGTCTAGTCGTGGTCGCTCAAATGCCTGCCGGTGGAAACGGTCGGATAAATCTATCCCTTCATCCACTGTGTCGTTTTCACCTCTTGCATCCCTTTACCCCTCTACAAGGTGTTACCCCTTGTACTGGAAAACAGGGGCGACTGTGGTACAGGCATGACATACGAGGTGTTGCACATTGGATCATGACACCCGTCGCGCACTGGATTGATACGCGTCACCAATTCAAACAGCAAGTCATTTCACGACCAACACTGCAATGACAGGGTTCCTTCTTCCACAAGCATGAACAATGAAAGCATCCCGTTTGACAGTTGCAGTAGGGGATGTGAATGACAGGTGTTCGCCCATTAAAACTGGGCGCTGTGAAAGTAGGACACCTCACCCCTGCTTCCTTCCCCACAGATTTCATCGGTAACTGATCCCTGCATCATGGAGTGGCAGCGCAGCTCCCGACCGATGGCACGGCATGAACACCCGGGGCGATCGATTGATAACAGCCATTGCGCGGGGACTACAGGTGGTACATGTCAATGGTGAGCCAGCGGACGCCGGCCGACTGCACTGGGCGCTCGCTCATTCGGTGCGCCTCTGCCCCACTTGTGCCGCGAACAAATCCGGCCACGTGTTGACGTCCGTGCCGGAGTTCTTTGCGCCAAGGTAGCGTAGCGGAACGAGTGTGCATGGGTGCCTCCTCCGTGACGGAGGCGGGGCTGAGCTGGGGTGGCAGAGAGGTCATGCTGCGCGTTAGGAGGCGCGTCTGTGCCCCACCCCGGCGCTTGGTCGACGCTCTACGACAACCGGCCTGGCCGCCGCCAGCGCGTGCAGAATCTCATTCTGATTCCGGCAACAAACTTCTGTAATAAAGGTGATGTATGTCGGATGATAAATCACTCGAGCCGTATTTTGTATCCATTTAGTCCAGATGGCCCCGCTTCACTCGTCTGCTCGCAGAGTTTGAGCCGCCGGGGTGTTAAGCAAGCTTCTAAAC